AAGACCTGAAGGCTGGCATCACCAAAACCCTCCGCGCCTACTCCATTGTTTTTGCATGGGGGCCGGAGGATATGCCAGGAATTGACCGAAGGGTCATCACCCACCGCCTGGCGGTGGACCCTTCGGCCAAACCAATACAGCAGCGGAGAAGACCCCTCTCGGCCGAGAGAAGGGAGTTCGTGAAGAAGGAGGTGGCCATGCTCCTCTCTATCAAACACATTAAGGAGGTGAAATACCCTTCTTGGTTGGCGAACGTAGTCCTCGCGCAGAAGCCCCCTACCTTCCGCATGTGCGTGGACTACACGGATCTGAATAAGGCGTGCCCTATGGACCCCTTCCCTCTGCCGAACATTGACCAACTGGTGGATGAGACCGCGGGATGCGAGATCATGTCATTCCTCGACGCATTCCGCGGATATCATCAGATCTATATGCATGAGGAGGACGCTGAAAAAACTGCCTTCATGACCCCCGAAGGCATCTTCTGCTACCTCGTGATGGCCTTCGGCCTCAAGAATTCGGGCGCCACCTACACCCGAATGGTGGCCAGGGTTTTTCAAGCTGTCCTAGGGCGCACCATGGAGGCTTACGTTGACGATATGATTGTCAAAAGCAAGAAGGCAAGCACTCACGCCGACGACCTCCAGGAAATCTTTGCCATCATGCAAAAATTCAGCCTCCGACTGAATCCGACGAAATGCACCTTCGGCGTTCAGGGAGGAAAGTTCTTAGGCTACATGGTAAGCCGAAGGGGTATCGAGGCTAACCCCGAGAAAATTTAGGCCATCATCAATATGGAACCTCCACGCAACGTCAAAGAAGTTCAACGGTTGACGGGTCGCCTGGCAGCCCTCAACCGTTTTCTCTCCAAATCAGCCGAGAGGGCCCTCCCCTTCTTCCAAATCATGAGGAAGACAGCGGGTTTCCAATGGACATCTGAGTGTCAGGAGGCTTTCGATGAACTTAAGAAGTACCTCTCTTCTCCCCGAGTGCTCTCCAAACCAAAGGTGGGGGAGACTTTATACTTGTACCTTGGTGTTAGCCCTGCTGCCATCAGCTCAGTGCTAATCCGGGAGGAGGACGGCGTCCAACACGCCATCTTCTACGTCAGCAAGACCCTCCGGGAAGCCGAACTCAGGTATTCTCCCGTCGAGAAGACGGTGCTAGCCATCGTTTGGACCGTCAAGAAGCTTGGCCACTACTTTCAAGCTCATCCGGTCCAAGTGCTCACTCATCAACCCCTCGGCGCCCTCATGAGGAGTCCCACTAGCTCCTCCCGGATGGTGAAGTGGGCCATCTTCCTCAGTCAATACAACATAGATATCCGTCCGAGGCCTGCCATTAAGGGCCAAGCCCTGGCAGACTTCGTAACGGAATGCACCGCGAGATCAGCGGTGGATGAAGAGCCTTCGGCGCCTCTGGATGAATGGTGGACCCTCTACACCGACGGCTCCTCCGCCACCAAGGCATGCGGGGGAGGCGTAGTGCTCATTACACCCGAGGGCTTCAGGGCATATTACGCCATCCGTTTTTCCTTCAAAGTATCAAACAATGAAGCCGAATATGAGGCCCTCCTCTGTGGCCTTCGGCTGGCGGTAAATCTGAAGGCTAAGATGATCCACGTTAAGTGTGACTCCAAACTTGTCGTGGGTCAAATTTCCGGGGAGTACGAAACCAAGGAAGGGAGGATGAAACAATACAAGGAAGCGGCTAAGGAGTTGCTTAAGGTATTTGAGGCACATTCTCTCACTCAAATACCGAGGGCTCAAAACTCCGAGGCCGACATCCTATCCAAACTCTCGGATGAATCCCCCGAACACCTTTCTAAAATTGCAAGAATCGAGGAACTAAGCCTCTCAAGCATCCATGCGAGCCCCGTCATGGATATTCACCTAAGGCCGGAGGATTGGATCTCCGACATCATCAACTTCATCACCACGGGGCAACTGCCCCAAGACGAAGCCCGCGCCAAGTTAGCAAAGCTGAGGGCTCCCAGCTACACCATCGAGAATGGGAGGCTTTACAAAAGATCTTACAACGGCACCCTCCTTCGGTGCCTTCATCAAGATGAAGCTGAAGTCGCTATGGAGGAAGTGCACAGTGGCACTTGCTCAGCTCACCAGGGACCCTTCTCCATGTCCCGAAGGCTCATAGTTCAAGGCTACTTCTGGCCCACGATGGCTAGAGATTGTGCTGACCTAGCCCGAAGGTGCACCGCTTGCCAACACTTCCAGAAGGCCCCCGGCAGACCAGCGGTCAACTATGCCCCCATCAGCACCGCTATACCCTTCTCCAGGTGGGGTATTGACTTAGTGGGCCCTCTGCCGAGGGGCACTTCCAACAACAGGTATATCATCGTGGCCATTGACTACTTCACCAAATGGGTAGAAGCCGAGCCCCTCGCCAGCATCACTGAAGCCCGGTGCCGCCACTTTGTTCTCAAAAATATTCTCACAAGGTTTGGCGTCCCCCAACAGATCATCTCCGACAACGGGACTCAGTTCGAGACAGCCCCCTTCTGTGCCCTCCTTGAGGCTTGGAGCATCAAGCACACATTCTCTTCCGTTGCCTACCCCCAGGGCAACGGACAAGTAGAAAATGCCAACCGCACCCTCCTCGAGGGGTTGAAGAAGAAGCTGGAAGCCGAAGGGGGAGGCTGGGTAGAAGAGCTCCACAACATCTTGTGGGCCTATCGCACCACCCCTCGGCGCGCAACAGGCGAGACACCCTTCTCCCTATGCTATGGTTTCGAGGCTAAGGCTCCAACAGAAGTGACCCTTCCCACCCGAAGGGTGGAACAATATGAACCTGAGGTCAACGACACCAATATGGCCCTCGACCTTCACCTCATCTCAGAGCGCCGGGAGCAAGCCTTCATAAGAGCCGAAAACTATAGAAGACAGGTCAAAGGCTACATCGACGCCAAGGTCCGCTCCCGGGAATTTCAGGTGGGTGACTACGTCCTCCGACGAAGGGAGGCCAGCCTACCCACCGAAGGAGGAAAAATGGCGCCCAAGTTTGAAGGCCCTTACATCATCTCAGCCATCATCAAACCAGGGACATACAAGCTTAAACGCCCCAATGGGACGGAGGTCCCTAGGCATTGGAATGTGCACCACCTTGTCAAATTCTATCAATAAAACATAAGCGGCCAAGCCCTCATCCTCAGCAAGTGTAAATATCAATGGCCCAAGGCCCCATCCGTTTTGAAAGAATAATCAAAAGGCCAAGCCTTCGTCACCTACATATTGTACAAGCGGCCCAAGGCCCCCTTCTCTCCTACAAATGAGTGGCCAAGCCCTCATCCCTTCACCGACATAGGCCCAAGGCCTCTTCCTCTCATCGGGGGGGACAACAATTTAGGTACCAAGTACCAAGTGTACGGGTCACCCCCATCACTCTTTAACACCAAGTTTTTTTTACTAAGTCGTACCCCACGAGGACGCAATCATGCATACATTATGCATACTTATACATACTCTCCAAAAAAAAAAAAAATGCGGGGTGCAACACCCCTCGGCTCCGGCTGGCGCCAAGTGCCCCCGGCTGTTTGTGTCCCACACACAAATAAAACCCTTCCCAGGAACGCTTTCCGCGCCATCCCCCAAGGGGAGGCAGGCAACGGACCATGTCCCGGGCCCAGGATTCGACTTCCACAAACGAAACGCTCCCCGCGCTATCCCCCAAGGGGAAGCAGGCAACAGACCATGTCTCGGGCTGAGGGGACGACTTTCAAAACCGAGGCGCTTTCCGTGCTATCTCCCAAGGGGAAGCAGGCAACAGACGATGTCTCGGGCCGAGGAAACGACCCTCAAACCCTTCGGGATATCGGAAGGTCATTCCCAAAGGGGGAGCCGACGGTTTATTCCGTCGCCTCCCATATAGGCCAAGCCTTTCCTAGAAACCAAGTTTCTAGATGCCTCTCCTACATCATTCAAAAAAAAAGGGATGTGTAGGGGGGAAGGAACTCCCCGGATACTATTTTTCCCGGAGGCTCAACACCTCGGATATATATTCTCGAAGGCTCCTACAAATGCACAAGAGAATCTCTCAACAACAAGTCATCTTGCTACATAGCCGAAGGCTTCACTACATGAAGCCTTGGAGTACAACAGTTCCCCCGGAAGCCCAAGAAGAGGCCTTGGAGAACTTCACATTTCAAAAGCTTGCTACACAAGGAAGCTAGTCTATTTCACATCCGAAGGCATGCCCTCGGATCAGTGGGACAAATTCATGAGACCCACAACAGCAGAAGATTCATCAAACTCCTTCATCTGAGGGCTCACAACAATGCCTATTGAAAATGTGGAGAAATTTGACTAAGTCCATAACAACAACAACCCTCCGGTGATCCTATGGGAGACAAATCTCAGAATTTCACTAAGTCCATAATCTTGAACCCCTCGACAAGTATAGGCACAGGGGGCTCAAGCAATCCTCACATTCGAAGGCTCACTACAGCACCTATTACAACTTTATGGAAATTTGGCTAAGTCCACAACCCGGAACCCTCCGGAGAGCTCAGCTACTAACAACAGGCTTAGTACCGAAGGACCCCTCAAGCTACCCAACAAGAACCTGAACTTACACTAAAGGTCTAAGGCTTCATCACCGCCGGGGCCTAGGGTGGAATCAGCTTGGAAAATTTCCCAAGTTTAATTCATTCTAACCCTCGGTCCTACCCCCTACAACCCGGAGGCACTCCCCATAGTTCAATACCGAAGGCATACAATGGAATTGAGGGCTCCACGACAACGACCCCCCGATAATTCTACACTACGACCGGAGGCTTGCTGCCAGGTTACTTAGAAAAATTCCTAAGTCCACAAACTGGAGGACTCCGAGAAAGCGGACATTCATTCACGAAAAGGGAAGGCTTGCATAGGAATAAGGGCGGAAATCCATTCAATTCATAAAAACGAAGGCATGTACTACTCATTCAAAAAACCCATAGGCAAAACATTCATTACAGAAGAGAGTGTACTTGTTTACAACCGTGGCCGAAGCCGAAGCCTATAAACTATTACAAGATTTATGCATAGGCAGATAACTAAGTTTGGGCCCCTTCAGCTGCATCCTCCTTCGTCTTTGAGGTAGCGTCGTCCTCAACTTCGTCTTCATCTTCGAGACCGCATTCCCTCATCAACTCGGAATCTGCGAGCTGACGCCTCTCTTCACCCTCCGGAAGGGGGATCCGGACATCAGGCTGCCGGGGAAGAAGACCGTAGACCGAGGGGTCGAAATTGCTGGGGTCAATACCAAAGTGGCCGGCAAGCTTCCTATAGATCAAGCGTTGGGTGAAGAATTCACCCCCATCAAAGTAATTTTTGCCCTTCAGCGCCATCCATTCGGATCCGGGGCCTGCCACCCAGCCGTCAACGCCTTGCTCAATGACTGAGGCCGCCCACTGCTTGTGGTCTTCTGCCTTCCACCCTCCGGCCATGAATTCGGCGACCGCTTCCCCCTTTGCCTTGGAGATGGCCTCAGACTTTTCCCTCTCGGCTTCCTCAGCGACCAGTTTTGCGGCCTCGGCAGCCGCTCTCTCGGCATCAGCCTTCCCCTCAGCTCGGGCCCTCTCCTCCGTTGCCTTCAGTTCCTCCCCGGCTTTCTTGAGGGCTGCTTCCAGCTCAGCGCCGTACCTGATGGCCTCGGCGTTCTCCCGGATAAGCTTCTCCAGGGCTGCGTCATTCTGCGCCTTCTTCGAGCGCATCTGCCCTACCCTCCGGACGTACTCTCCGAGGGCCACTGAGGCCTGAAATGGATATAGAAGCATGCAAAGTCAAAATCATGTAGAGGGAAAAGACGCAAAAAAGACAAGTCAGGAGCAAAGGATTCAAGGACTTACAGAGACGGAGGCCTGGAGGGCCTTGAGTTCGAGGGTCTCATCGTCGAACCGGCCGAGGGTGGCCCGATCCAGCGGCGGAGTGGCACCCCTCAGGAACTCCCTCGGGTCAAGGGTGCCATGCATGATGGCGGTTCCCTTCTTGAAAGAAAACTGTACCGTCTCTTGAGGCCAGGGCCCCTCATCAAGATCTTCAAGTGGAGCGGGCTCCGAAGAGAGGAAAGAGGAAGGTTCTTCGATGATCACCAAGGGGGCATCCTTACCCCCCTCAGCCCTCTTCTTCTTCTTGGTTTCCGGGGGCATTACGCCTTTCCCGACATTCTTTCTTTTAAGGCCCCCAACCTGAGGGGCCCCGGCATCAGCACTGGTGTCAAGGGCAGCGACTTCCTTCGAGGGCCCCTCACCCTCTGCAGTCTTGGGGGCCCCGTCCCCCCTGAAATATTCATCCACAGCCTTCTGCTGCGAGGGGGCCTCCTTCTTCTTTGGCACCTTAGCCAATTTCTTTGACAACCGTGCGAAGGCTTGCACGTCCATAATATCGCCTGCAAAAGAAAAGAGAAGGTTAGAAATCATAGCAAATTGAAGAAAAATGCTCTAAGTACAAAAACCAAATGCCCTCGGCCACAACCTCTGGAGTTTTGATACCCTCGATCAATCGGTGGGTACTTGTCATCTTTATCCTCCGAAAGGCGGTACCGCCGGAAGCCCAGTAGGTACAGCTCCTCGGGTAGCGTCGCTTCCTTGATAGCGATCACCTTCTCAGAACCCGTCGGTTTCTCGGTCAATTTTCTCCCAGCCTTGTCGAGGGTGGCATTGCCTACCTTCGGGTGCCTTTTGAAATAATTATTGCGGGCCCCCGGGAACGGATTTTCGGGCATCCGAATGTAGCAAAATTTCTCCTTCCAATCTTTATGGGAGGAGGGAGTCTCGGAGAACAGCTTCCAGGCCGGCACCTGCTGCAGATTCGCGTACCCCCCCCCCCCCCCCCCGCATGAGAATGTCCCCCCCGACACAGGTTGAAGGAGAGGAAGAACTGCTCTAACGTGGCCTCCACCTTCCGGCTTCGGCAAAGGGAGAGGAATCCCGCCAAGTAGTATTGGCTGTTCGGCGTGAGCTGACAGGGGGCCAGCTTCACAAACTTCAAGTACTTTACCACGAATGGGTGGAGTGGGAATCTGAGCCCTAACTCCACCGAGAGCATGTGCACCGAAAAACACCCCTCGGGAGGATTCGAGAGCAAGTCATCGGGCCCCGGCTCGACTACCTGCGCCGAAGGCCCCACGAGGACCTGGAGAGCTTGATACTCCGCTCCCGAGGCTGTGGTTTTTACTTCGAGAGCAGCGGTGTCCAAATAGGAGTGCCCCTCGGGAATCCCCACCGGCTGCCCGGCATCGACAGCTGCCATCTTCTTCTTCGGGGCAGCCCTCAGTTTCTGCTTCTTCTTACCCGGTGCAACTCTGAGGGGTTCCGGATTCAGCGGCCGGGAACTACTAGCCCCCCCGGTACCGCGAGAGGGCAAGACGGCGACAGTTACTTGCTGCCTTTCTTTCTCCTCCTCCTCCTCGGCTACTTGAAGCGCGAGGGCCATCTCCTCGTCTTCCGCCACCTGCTCAAATTCCTCCGCCTCAAGCTCAGTCTGAAGGGTGTCTTGGACTTCCTCGGCAATAGCGGCGTCATTGTTGGCCGACGATTGTCCACTTGAGGACTCCACCTCAGAATATCTCTCCGACTGGACCGGGGCCTCCACGGAAATGTCTTGGGAATCACTAGCCGACGACATCTCCTCGGTATCAGAAGGTGGCAAGAATAGAAGAAAACTGGCTGGGGGCTCCTGAGGATTCCCTAAAACCTAGACCTAAGGCCAGGAAAGCGAAATGCGCTAAGTGTATGGAGAACAGATGAAAGACTCACCTTGGAAAGCTAGTTAGGCCGAACGCAGGGGTTTCTCTCTCTAGAAAAATTGGCAGAGCTCCGCTATCTCTCTAAAATCGCGCAAGGACAAATGAGCTCAGGCTCAGGGTATTTATAGGCAACTGGGCCTCGAGAGTTGGGCTTCGACTTAAAAAGGCCATCATTACGGGCCGCCGGTTCAACCAATGGATGGCACCCGCCCCCCATCTGCCAACGACAAAGCGCCACGTCAGCCCCTCTCCCAACGGCTATATTATAACGGCTATATTTCGGAAGCATTGGAATGCCCTCGGACGACGAATCTCCGGCTGTCACTCACCGCCGCCTTCAGCCAACAAATTCCAACAAACGCCTTCAGGCTGGCAACAGCATAAGCCTTCGGCTCGCCAATGTTGCCACTCCCAAATACCCATATCAAATGAAAGCCCTCGGCTGACAACTAGGAAAGGCTTCGAGCAGCTAGCAGGTAAGTCCTAGGCTAACACCCAGTCAATGAAATCCCTCGGGAAAACTCATCAACACCTCATAACTCCTTCAGCCCGAACTTGCCTTCGGTCTAAAGGAGTGGGGGACTGGGATACACCCCTCGGGGAACACACAGAACAAAATTATCACATGCAGAGTTTACAAGCAACGCGTGTAGCCTTCGGAAAACCAACAAGGAAGATCCTTTCGGCAAAGGCTTAAAATCAAAAAATGTCCCACAATTCACTTGTGGCAATGAAGCAGCCCTCACCACAACATATGCAGGCGATACATCTATGCTTTCCCCAGAAAACCCTCGGCATGTGAGGGACTGAGGGGAGCCCCCGGCAAACCTGCGGATGTTATGTATACTTTTCCTCAGAAAACCCTCGACATGTGAGGGACTGAGGGAAGCCTTCGGCAATCAGCAGGAGACAGATTCTCAAGCAAAGGCGCCCAACTAAATGATGAAGCCTCCGGAAGAATCAACACATCTACTCCTTTTCCCTCAAGTACCTCTCGGCAAAAGGAGTGAGGGACTCCTGATGGAGTATATGGCCCAGGAACCCCCGGCCCATAGACTCCTACTTCTCCTACACAAATCCATTGAGCCCAGAGAACAACTCAGGCCCAAATGCAACGGCCCAAGCCTCAGGGTGGCCCAGAATACACACTGGAGTGCCTTCGGCCTCCTTGACCGAAGGCTCCAAAAAACTCACAGGATAGCCTTCTCTGGCGTACGAAGCTACTGGGAGAAAACGGCGAAAAACGTGAGCCTTCGGCACTATCGAGCCCTCAGCATCAGAGAAGCCTTCGGCTGAACCAAGCCTTCGGTCACACAAAGCCTTCGACTACACAGGGGTCCTTGGCCACATGGGGCCCTCGGCTACACAAGAGCCTTCGGCCGAACATGCTCAATCATCGAGACAGCCAACCACCGTATTTAATATCACGTCACATCCGCCAACCGCATTCAATGCGGTAAACGTACCACTGCCGGTGCCACCCGGCTGATGTGACCCCTCGGCCGTCGGATTACTGACACGTGTACTCTCATCGCATTTATTGCTACTATAAATAGCAGCCCTTATTCTCCTTGTAAGACACGCTGGGTTCATTTAATAAAATCGACTCTCTCTCCTCCTATTTTGCTCTGACTTCTCTCTAGTTATTCCCGCAATAACCCCTCGGATAAGATACCCCCCGGGTAGACTATCCATCAATAAGTATGCATATACACGTTATAAGAAGGCAAATTACTTTCGGGAAAAAATAACTTCATTCATCATCTGTATCTAACACACGGGCAATTAACTAGTTAAACATAACGTCATTAAACCCGGTTTCTTTCTCAATCACCCTAGGGTGTGCTTAAAAGTTTTCTTTTGGAAGAAATGAAGTTTTATTTGGGTTTTGGAGCGATTTGATAATCCTTTCGTATTTCAAAGTTTGATACACTTTTTTTTTTCTTTCATACTTTTTCACCATCTCTTTTACTTTTTCTACATAATTCATTATCTCTACTATTTCATTTTTAAATAATGTGCTCAAAACTTATTGTAGTGAACTTTTAAGTAGATACAAACTACTATACATTTTTAACTAGGGAAAATTGCACTTTTAGTCCACAAAATAGTCACCAAATTGAAATGTCAGACCCGTATTTCATAAATCGTAAATGTTATCCTTCAATTGTTCAAATTGTTGTAAATATGGTTCTTTGAGAGGTGAAATGTATTCCCCGCTCATGTTGTACAATTCAACCCTCGAATGATCACATTAAACAATTTGGACAATTAAGGGTGACATTTACTGACTAAGGAACTAGAAGTGCTATTATCCTTGTAACCCCTCTTTTGGAGCCAAACTCACCTCTTTTGAAACCCCTTCACCTTGACGCCGCTCTATCAGTTTCGGATTCACAGCTGTGAGATTCGCTCGTACACTTTTTCATCTGTCTGCGCGAACCGTCTGGGCTCCATGTGTAACACACGCCTCTGTACGCTTACGTAATTATATATTGTTTGTGAGTTGAAATGCACAAGCTCTATTTCTTATTCTCAGCTACAATTTCGGAATTTTGGAGGATTTGGATAGGTCGTGCATAGCTTGTTTGTTAGTAGGTTTTTTTGTCCCCGTTTAGCTAGGGTCTGTCTGGATAATTGATGTCAATTTTCTCCACGGTGGTCTGAGGCTATTGTAATTCAAAATACATAAAAAAAATGTGTGGTTTTTTGTCCTTTTACCCCTGATTAACAAATTCCAGTAATAATTCATTTTTTAAAACATTTTAGAGTAATTTGCTTGCTTTTTGTGAATTCAGCGCCAGGTATTTATTTGATTGTAGTTCAATCATCTCTTCTTTTAAGGAGTATTTAAAGGACTGGGTAATAGGATGTCTTGTTTTCTTCCCGTGTGTTCAGTGAAAGGAAGCTCAAAAACTCAATAGTTTTTATTTGTTAACTCATTCGGTGCCACATATGGTGAATTCTCAGCTAAGTAACGGGGTGACCGGCAGGGGAAGTGGTAAAACCCTTTTGGATAAACAGCTAGCTGGTGCTACAAAGAAAACTGCTTTAAAAGACTTACAAAATCAAAATGGAAGGCAGTTAACTAAACTTGGAGACAGTTCACTAATATTGGGCAAAAAACTTGGAGCAGATGGAACAAGAGTTTGCGGCAGTAAGAGGCTCACACCCGAGAGCCCTTCAAGTCCCGTTTGCCACATGTCATTAGCCAGTAATGGTGCAAGTGAGCATATAATCAATGCTCGGAGACGGTTTGAATTAGAACTGGGTAGGGGAAGAGTCCAAAACGATTTAGACAAATATGTAGATTTAATACCTCCAAAGCGTAACGATGTTCATCAGATGCCGAATCAATCGAAGGAGAACAATATCAGCGATGCCTCTATAACTATGCCCTATAATAATATCACTTACTCACAGAGTAGAGCACAAGTTTCCCTTTCAGATGGCAAGGCTAATACGGCCCCACTGTTTGAGAGAGCTGATTCTGCTCATAAGTTTATCTCAGATAACTCTCATTCAGTTGAGTTCAAGGTGGCTGATGATCAGCTCCGGACAGAACGTTTTGCTCGTCTCCATAAATTACTGAAGAAGTGTGATGAGTCTAGCTATTGCGATTACACTCAGAGTAGGTTTCCGTTTACGTGTTTATTGTTATTGTTGTTTTTGTTGTTGTTATTATCATTATTATTATATACCCCTATTATTATTACTATTATTATTGTTTGCTTCTTTTTAGTCATTATTAGAACTGTGCTCCTGGGTTATCCTTTGCAGTGCTTCTACGTCTATCCCCTAGTGAACTCAGCAGACACGCTGTTGATCTGGAAAAAAGGGCCATCCAATTGGTGATAGATGAAGGTAATACACTACCATTGCTTATATGAAGATTTTCTTATTGATATTTGTATCTCCAGTTTTAGTGTGGAGCTGGCGTGATAAATTTGCATCTCCTTGCACAACTTTCTTGTGTTATTTCATTGTGTATACCAAAACTATCTCATTTTCTCACCATTGAGTAATTGAACCTTATTTTCATAGAGGTTATAATGCTTTAGTATGCTTTTTGCCCCTGCACATATAGCGGTATTTGCTTTAGGCCCCTGTAGATCTTGTCTTTGTTATTCTTCACTGAATTTTACATTGTTATCCTTTGTTCATCTTTCTCAACCTTCGCATAATAAAAAAGCTGGTGTCCCTCACAAAACTTTATATGGCTTATAACAACTTTACTCAAACCTTCTATAACTCAATGTCAACTGTTAGGGAGTTGGCTAAATGAAACTTACTATTCTCACTTTTAATTTAGGGCTAACTAAAATTCAGTAATCCCCTTGGAATAACGTACTAAACATTATAAAAATTACAAAGCCAGATGTTTTTTAAACTGACGTTGATAGGATGATGGACCAAAAAGAAAATAATGTAAATTTATGGGGATGAATATCAATATCATTTTACTACAGAGACTTAGAAAATGCTATATTTTTAAGGACAAGAAACATATCTAAGACTACTTGATTTAATAATTCCACATTAATTTTGATGTCTTTGACTGAGGTTACTATAACATCAATTAGAAATCAGAAGAGAGCTAGTGGTTTGGTTTTTGCGGCATATGGTTTAGGTTGTTCTTGTTATCCTTCAAAACTAACATAGAACATGCAGCTGCAACTATCTTTACAACCAAATAGAATGCTTCTACAACTGTCTTTTCTTTTTGTTGTAGGAAAGGAAATAAACCGGGGGAAAATGTTAAATATTCTCCGAAAGTCTCCTCCAGATTCCACACCTTTGCAAACAGCACAACTGCTTCAGCCCAAACATGAATAGTTACAGGAAATTATTTTACATCCTGTTGGTGAAAGACTCTCGCCTTATACTTTGTTTCTGACGGGGGAGGGGGACACAATCCTCCTAGAAATGCTTTTGGGCATATGCAGTGAGATCAATTATAGTCACATACTCACATGGAGGGAGTGAGGTTTTGGTTTTTGCAGCACAAGCAAATTACTCCGGTAGTACATCTTCTCAGGTTGAATGTGTGTTTACATCTTTTCGCTACATATTTTTATTTCCTTTAATCTCTCTCTGTTCAGTCCAGTGCCCAAATGGGAAAGCTATAAGCTTACTCCCTCACAATTGTTAGTCAGTGCAAATGTGCAATAAACATTTACCCTAGTCATATTAGACTCAAATTATTGGTTTTCTCATAAATTGATACTTAAATCCACATTGATTATTATTTTTGCTCTTTACTTGTGTGGGCAATACCATAAACTTCAAGGTATTAGGCTACTTGTGATTTAAAGGGATTGTTGTGCCCTTTTGAGGTATTGATAGTGAGATTTTGGATATTCCAGTTTTTCTTTCAAAGCTAGTTGAAAATTAAACAATCGAAAACTAGAAGATAGAATTTTTTTTTAAAAGAAGATAAAAGTTAAGACCTCGTTCAAGATATTTTCTCTTTTCTACATTGTTTTTTGTGTTTTAAAAACTAAGAACATGTTTAGAATGAGAAGTGTTTTAATTCTTGTTGTGGGAAGCTTTTAGAATTAATGGACTAACCCGAACCCTTAAAATTGGTCATATGATTAAGCTTTAATTAATGAAAATTCATGGGAGTCATAAATGAATTGAATAACAAAAAAGAGAGAAACTTACTCCTCCGTTCCTTAAATTTTTGCCAAGTTTGATTCAGGAGAATTAATTAAGTAAAAACTGTGCGATTGAGGTTTATGCACAGGAGAGAGAATTAACTGGAACCACAAATTCTTTACTAAAACGGAAGTGGTAAAATTAGTGGGACAATAAAAATGAAAAGTTAGAAAATTTTAAGGAATAGATGGAGTATTTATTAATCGACTCGATGGGAAAGAATACAGTGAGTGAATAGTCGGAGGCTACAATGGGATGGATATAGTCTTATTTGGCAATCAAGAGTTAGCCATTAGTTGTCAGAGTTGATTCTGTTAATGTCTTGCTAATAGTTAATTAGTTAAGTTGTTTTGATTGGTTGATCATGTTAACTTGCTTTAAAAAAATGTTCAAAATTTCAGCTTAAAATTTAATCGGGAAGTTAGTTAAATAATTTATTGAAAAATACGACGTTTTATATATTGGACTCAATAAATAAATATTGTTTAGCCTTCTTATTTTCACGTTGATTTTGCCTGTTGGCTAAGCAGCACGAAATTTTCCTTTGAAACAATTTGTAACAAATTTTCCATTTACCTCAGAGAGACATCCTAGAATCCTAATTCCTAAATAAACCAAGTAGCATTACAACATATTTCGATCCATGTCATGTGATGTGAGTAGGTGATATTGTAGGCCGTCACACGTCTACCACAACACCCTCCTCTTTTATTCTGGCTTGGGACAGACATGAAACCAAAAAATTGATCTCATGGCGGAGTTAAATAAACCAAGTAGCATTATGAACTGAAAAATCCATAATGAAAAACGCAGATGGAAAACAAGCTTCTTAGATGTTTGCATATCCTATTAGCATAAGCGCAGGAGCCAAATATTTTTTACATTCTACTAATATGAGACTAGTAAAAAGAAAGAATATACAAAGAAGAATTATGGAGATATGGATGTGATAGATCGATCCACAAGTTAAGGGAAAAAACACTTGATGATTAGATTTCCATCCAAAAAATAGATAACTAAAATAAACAATTCTTATAGGAATGGAGAGATGGATTTACTATAATGGTATGTGAATTTTGAATATTGAGTAGGCAAAGGGTAGAAAAGAGTTTGAGCAGATCGGCTAAAGTAAGACGTTGTCCTATGTGGCGTTTTTGTTTTCAATTTATTGGAGTCGATCAACCAAGTAAATCAGTAGTTTGCCAAACAATGTTTTTGGTTGGATGTTTGAATGGTCAAACCCATTAATTGATCTCACAATTATGAGTTCCTGTAATTCATGATGGTCACATAGGTATTTTAGAGAATACTGGCCTACCTACCGAGAAATCATTTGATAAGTTCTATTCATGTGTGTTAGATAATTGATACCCATATCCTATAACTAAGGAGAGATTGAACAATAATCAAGAAGAGTAAAGGAGAAGAAGAATGTGTATGTTGAATGAATTGTGAGTTTTGTTTACAAGCCTCCTATAAGGAGTATATATAGGGAAAATCGGGGTATGGGCCTCATATATGGGCCTAACACACCCGGTTACATAAATGGACTGATAGTATAAAAAACTAATCTAGAACATCTGAATAATAATAATAATAATGTACAATAATAAGAATTCGCTAAACGTGTGTGGGCCGCTGTCCAGACCCAATAGTCAGCAGACCAGGGGGTCGGAATCCATATACTCCATCCACCAGGAGTCCCCCACTCCCTGAGCCGAGAGTACTCGAGGTGAAAGGGAGTAGTCCACAATTGTATCTGCAACGTTCTTCTGTCTTTGATTTCTTCCTCTTCGGCTGGGAGACCACCACCCTTGTCCATGATGGGGAGGTGCCTCGTTAAAAACCTTTAATAGGAAAAAACCCAGTGGGAAAAAAATCCTAATAAAGGGAAAAAGAGTACACCTAGCGCCCCCAACATAAAACAAGGAAGGTAGGCCCCTCCGGCATAATCACTTTTGTCTAGCTCAACCTGTCTTCATCTGACTCATCTTTCGTTCCTGCTCATGCATGATATTTTCTGCTCATCTAGAAACTTTGACCCCTCAGCCCCCTACTCCTTGAGGCGAGTGGAGACGAGGTGAAAATGAGTAAAGTCATCTTTGTACCTACACATTTATCATACATATAAAATCTTTTTCTTGGGATTTATGTTTCCGATTGGGAGTTCGTTACTTGAAAATAGTGGAAATGTGGATTGTCAATGTAATGATAAAATACTTAGTAGAGTGGATGTGTGAGCCATTCATAAGCAACGATCGCCACTCGAGGAATGACTAAGACCGGTCTTCGTGCCTGAGAGTCAGGGCTTTGTGCCTGAGAGTCAGGGCTTTGTGCCTGAGAGTCAGGGCTTTAAATCCTAGTGATGGGTCTCAAGCCACACTCTACTAGGCATTTGATCATAAGTGCGTGATAGTGTGACATTCACCCGACAAAAAAATGATTTAAATAATATAAAAATTAAAGATTACCCAACTTTTTGAAGTGGGCTGAAATAATGGACTGATTGGGCTGAAAAATATCCAGCTGATTCCTTTGGGCTGAAATGGGGCCTGATTCCTTAGTGAGCTGCTCCGCCTAATAATTTTGGCCAGGTCTACGAAACGCTCCAATTAGCTGGCAAGTGGCCGGCAAGTAGCTGGCAAGTGACCAAGAGGCAGCCTGTCACCTTTCTCTCTTAAGAATCTTTGTAGCTGCTACCAACTGGTGAGGACGGCCCCAACATGGCGGGCGAGGTGGGAGAGTATGGGTGATGCGAGCGGGCAGAGAAAAGGGCGGCGAGCGACGGCGCCGCGTCCATGATGGAGCCCAGAGTGAGCTGCAGGCCTGTGCGTTACTGATTTGATGTACGATGAGGTCCGGTGGAGGAGCCGAACTTGCAAGGCTTGCCTCTTCTAGATCCAGAACTTGAAGACCCGGTCTGGAAACTATGGCCGGTGATTCACGGTGGTCGGCGAGATCCGTGGAAGTGGTGGCCAGCTGGCGGCAAGAATGTTTTGGAGTGGGACGCAGTGTAGGGCTGCGCGACCTGGGACACAGCTGTGGGATGACGGTTGCTCCAGCCAGTTCTGGGAAATCCCAGATTCCCGATTCCCCATCTCTGCTCTTTGCTAATTGTTTTCTTTTATGAACTTTCCAGACAGTTTCTTGGTTTTGCCTTTGCCATCACGGGATGTGTAGAGCTCTGGTTGCGACTGCGAGCTGTCCTCGCGGCGGAGCACGGACTTGGGGCTTCCTTAACCAGCAGATTCCTCAGCTTGGGGTGTCCTTACGCCTCTTTAGGTTGGATTCTGGCTCGAGAACGGAGCTTCCCAATCGACCATTAATGGCGGACTCTTAATGTTAAGCTCCAGGGGCTGAGTCATTCAAGCCCAGAAACCAATGCGGTGGCGCAGTGGCCAGGCGCGACGCTGTCAGGGTTGAGGCAGAGGAGCTTGTACCTGGCAGCGGCTTCAGCTCAGACCTGGGGACGGGGGTGAGCTTGAGCAGGCGACAAGCCTCTGCTATGGCGTGTGCCGGTGGTGACGGTCTTTCCGGCAAGACATCTCGGGCTCTGTATCGGAAATCGCTAATTTTCTGTTCTCGTTCGTTGCTCTTTCTGTTGGTCCCGTTTAAGTTGGTAACAGTCTAGAGGGGGGGGTGAATAGACTGTTACAAGTTTTTCAACTTTTCTCTAAGTCAGAGTTGACTTATCAGAGAGGGTCGAGTTCTGATGATCAGAACTGGTCTTGCAGCGGATAAGAGTTCCGGGTAGCCTCAAGAGAAACTAAGGCAAATGCCTTTCTGATAACTCTGAGAACACGATCTGCTGAACACAGAGTCCAAGTTCTATGGAGTTAAACAGTTTAGTCCTAAGTGCAGAAATTAAGGTGCAGTAAAGTAAATGACACCGGGGTTTTTATAGTGGTTCAAGGAACAACGCGTTCCTCTAGTCCACTGTTCCACTAAGCTTGTAAAAGTCACAGATTACACAGCCTTAGTTCCCTAGCACTTAAGAAGTTCTCCACGCCTTCTTCAAGTCTAGTTGTCACCCGGGATGCAGTCCTGCTTCCTGATGACTGGTCCTTTCACTCAGCTTCCCGGAAGTATCACCACTTCACTACTGCAGTTACTTGGACGCCCTTCTTTGCAGAAGATGTTCTGAAAAACAGAGTTTTCTCCAACTTGCTTCGTTACAAAAGATATGTAGTTGAAGTTCTTGAAGTGATGAAGAACTGGATGAACTTTGCTCTTGGTTGGGTTTGAGAGATTTGAATATTTAGTCTTCCCAACGTAAGCTTTTTCTTGTAGAAGGTTTTGAGGGTTGATTCTCAAGAAAGCTTGTAGAATGATTGTAGAGAGCAAAAATTGTAGCGAAGTTCTCCGGTTGTTCTTCATGAGTATCCTTTTATACTGAGGTTGTCTGCCCGTTGGAGGAGGAGACAACTGCATTAATTGCGCATACTGTGGAGTTGACCGGTTGGACCCGCAGTTTTGGCAGGTTTCTATTTTTGTATCATATTCTCCAGGAATTTCGGTCAATCATCTGCAATTACTCCACAGCGTATCAAGCTCATTAAATGAGCATTGAATGCTTTCCTTAGATGAAATATCTTCTAACCGTTGGGGAATTTCCCGTTTGATATACGGCCGTTGAAAGCAGCTTCGAAATCTTCTAAGTGTTCAACC